TATCAGTTTGTAACTCCCATCGTCACACACTTACAGATTATAGTCATGCATCATTTCCACCACTAAACACACAGCATTTTGAGTTGCACACTATATCTTAACTATCATAGACACTATGTAACACAATCACTCTAAACATATATTTATAACTTGCAGCCATACGAGCACTCCAGCATTGTTACATATACAAACAACATCAGCATCTGACATCAACGTCATCATATACAATCATCATCCTCGTCACACATTAGCATCATCACATACCATCAGCATCATTATGGTCACCTATCAACATTAGCATCATCACACTTCAGCAGCATTACACATCCGCATTATCACATACCAAATCAGCATCGTCACACCTCAACATCATCATATATACCAACATCAGCAGCATCACACAGCAGCATCACACATCCTCATTATCAGCTTATTCACACACTTTAACTTCCATGCATAAGGATGCTGCAGATTCTTAGACACAGTCAACATCATTATCTTCATCATCAAGCACACATAGACATGCTAATTTCAGTAATTTCTCCATAAACTAGTATGGACTCATAATAAGTGAGCAACTGACAGCTGTCACTATATCACTATAAGATAAATGTTCCTAGATATAATGAAATAGACAAATAAAAAACAAAACATGTGATGATTTTTTTTATAATTCTTTAAACAGCAGACAACTATTAGCTGTTAATAATAAATGTAAATCAATATCAGAAATACTGTCAGTTCTTACCATTGCTTGTGAAGTGATTGATTCTAAGGTGACCGATAAGGCCCATGGGCCTCTTGTTTCTAATCTTAAATTAATTTTTCAATGTATTTTTATGCACAATATGCGTACCTCAAGTGATTTTGCTTATTATTTTAGATTTATGATCTTTACATTTATTCACTTCTTTTTTTTGTTTGATATTTATGTATTTTATACATCCGTCAAATGACAGGACATATTATGTTATTCTCGTCTTCCATCCGTCCATCTTCCGTCCGTATGTCCCTCTGTTCGTAAACATTTCAATGTCCCAGCGATTTTGGAATTTATTAAGCCTTAACAGATTTCTTTTAACTTTCATTGCAAGCTTAAGTACAATCAAAGCTAGATTGAGTTTGATTTCCATGATTTTTGATCCACAACTTTTAGAGTTACGGCCCATTAATGTCTGTAACCTTTTCAATGTCGGTGCAATAACTTTGCAAAGTATTACGCAATTACCATTGAAACAAATGCAATATATTATATACAGCATAAATAGTGTAGGTGATAGTCAGACAAAATCACAGGCGTATTTCGTGACCTGAAACAGGCTCTTGTTTTTTTTTTTTTTCGTGTGACAAATTAAAATGATTGTTCAATATATGAATATTGTCAGCATTCCATTATACCTTCATAGATCCCTATTAGGATAAACTGACGGGACAGAGCTTGTTTGTTACACTATCAGAATAATGTAAATCACTCATACTGGTGGAGGAATTACAGTGATTCTAGCATTAAGTTGTATGGTTGCCAATTTATTTGCAGATAAGTCAATACCATTATTACTATTGCAGCCATGGTCTTTTGATGGCGTCGTTAACTTCACCTTGTCAGAATATCCTAATGGGGCAATATTTTGTACATCATGTGAGAAAAAAAAGCATATTTACAAAATTAATAACCAGAAGTAGCAAAATCACAGGGACTTTTCGAAATTATTTTTATTATCTTAATTATCTAGACAAGCCATTGTGGCTACATATAAATATGCAAGTGTTTCTGACTTCGTTTTAAATAAAAAAATAGTGGTGGAGTGATGGCTTTTGATAATGGATATATGTATATCTAGTTTTGATATATGCTTTATTTGACAAGGAATGTCAATTTATTGTTGTTAATAAAGTTACTGTTTCAATTTTGTTGTCATTGGTCCGTTTTTCCTTGGCCCGGAACTATTTCTGAAGGCGTCTATTTGCATCAACACTGCATCGTCATGCCGGTAATTACGGGCTTAAAATAGATTTTCTGTTGACCAATTTCATTTGACAGATGGGATTAAATCCCTAATGCGTCATATCGAGCGTAATAGCTTATTGGATAAATATTTATAGCAACCTATATTGAACTTGGGGAAACCCGTTCGTCCGCCATGGTGTTTCACGTTGTAATAGCAGCAAGCTGCAAGATGAACTCGAGTAATTTTACGGATGTTTCCTTTGATTACTTTTCATTATAACTACTGGAGCATGCATAAAACATCCTTGTGTCGTTGTCACGAAATGTAATAGATGTAGCAACAACCATTTGTACCTTCACTTTAATAAAAACATGCCAAATGTCGTATCTTTCTAATGGGAAGCCTGTTACGACGGAGATGTGAAGGGGACGTAACTCTTGGCGAACGACTACTATGTTCTGATATGAACAGCGTTAAAATTACTCATTCCATTCTTGGCAGACACTCTTATCAGAGCGATTAAGAGTGCATTATTTGCATATTTTGTGTAAATATATTCATATATGAGTTTTAGATATAAGGTAACTTTTTGTGTATGGTTGGTTGGTGGTTACAGGTTTGTCGTTTCATTGACTCGTCCCGTTCTAGGTGTTGTCTTACTGACGAACGTCACGGTTCTGTGTCCACGTGAAAATTATTATCGTACTGTTGTTTAAGAATTTAGGATTTATACGTGAATGTCATTCAGTGTGCATGCCGTGCTATATACAATTTGAATAACATATTTTTGTTGAGATAAAATCGTTGTCTACAAAGTAGAGTGTACATCCCCATCACAAGGGAAGTAACTCTTCTACAATATACTGATAAATTGAAACCTGGCGATTTGAAGCAATTAAATGAAATGTTAATGTATCTGTTATTCTAGTCATACGCCATACAGAATGTGTTGCTATATTTTGACGAGGCCAGTCAGTGGGACTCTGTTTACAAGACATCTCTGGTAAGTAATCTTTTCAACATAGAACTGGGTAATTAAAGGGTTAATTCCAAGATTTTTTCCCCAAGATTTTTCAAAACATCGTTTAAATTTTCTAATTGATTTTCTTCGCGACTTTCAAGTACTGCATGATGTGAGGACACGTCACACAATGCTGTATATTATTCCTGAAATATATTGAGCAATGTCTCATCGAAACTATTAGATTGGGAATCGAACCCATGACCACTGAGTCTTATATGTAATTGAGACAAGAAATTTTCACAACTCTCGGACAAGAGATTTTCAAAATGAATGACAAATGCGACAGCGTCTTTAAACGGGACCAGACACATAACCGGAAGTAGAATACACCTTACACTTAATTACTGATGACTACAACATAGCTGTTGTATTAACAGCGCTGTCTGCAGACGTGAAATACTATAATTTTAAAAGAAACGTTAAAATTTGTTTCAGACTTGCGACCAGAAAGTTGCAGTGCTCGATCCAGCCAATAACCAGATTATCTCCCTTTCCATTCTGTATTCCTGGTCGGGATGCGTGGAAAGCACGCGCGATGGTGTGGAATACGTTACGTGTATTGGAGGTCGTACTTTCCGCTCCACACGCGAGCGCTGGTGGTTTGTGGCCGTAAGTCGGTGTGATCAGTCATCAGGGGTATGTATAATTGTACATTTTGTTGGATGAATGATAATGAAATATTGCTCAAAATCGTTTTAAATTTTACGCGGAAACATAAATCACATATGCATGCATCCCTAAACACTGAAGACATGCATGTACCTGTTTTCCGGTTCAGATTGAATTAAATGACTTTAACCCTTTTGGATTAATAATCAAGACCAGGCAAGTAAATTATCACAATGATTTGATAAACATTTACTAGAACGATTTTACTACAATGATCTTTATCCGAATCGATCATGTGACTATATTTTTTAGCCGCCGATCTGCTTTATTGCTGCAAGGAAAACACTAAAGATGATGAACCCGCGGATCCATCCTTTAAATAAAAATGCCACTTTTTATCCAGTTGATAAAAGAATTGATATCAATGTATGTTTACGTGATATTCTGAATATGACTTGTTTTACCGTGGGTATGTTGTTTCGTTTTCCAGCCAACAGGTATGAATCTAACATACTCCCTACATATGATGAACAGTAAAGATGAAAAGGACATGCTCCACTACGAGTTCTCGGCGGATGAATTCTGTAAGTTGTTAAAGAAATCTCATCCGTTCTGATTCATGAACTTGCCATTTCTTTGTAGAAACTTGTATAATGCATTGGGTATATACTATCTACGACTAGTGAAGATCTAACCATCTATTGTAGCATCAAATTGATGTATTGAACAAGTCAGTGAAACGTTATTCAAATTTAGGGAATTTTTTTCTGCAGTTGGTAAACGCATCCAGAAAAAAATAATATATGAATGATGTCTCGACAACATTGTGATGTTCACTAAAAACATGACCAGTGTGAAATGCATTAGCACTGTGGTAAAGTGTACGAGATGGTAATAAATGGACAGGACATTTCGGCTGTATTATAATACTAGTACACTTAAGTGGTAAATCGTGTGATGAAATGACAATTAATTCGGTCTGTTTTCGGTATGAATTGTCACTTTTCTTTTATTATCGTAGTGGTTATAAGACGATATCGCAACCGATTGTTCTGCCAATTCGTTAATTTCTCGTTCTCTGTTTATCACAGTGTTAATGTGCAGCCATCGAGACGTCCCACATAATTCGTATTTCGTCACTTTTATAATGTTTCAGATATTCTACCTACCGATATAGCGTTCATGGGTGTTTACGTTCTTCTGTTGGTCGGGGCTATTATCTGTGCAGGTAAGTCAGGATACAATACGTCCGGTCTGAAATCATTCACAATTATTGTATAAAAATACATTAAACACTTGATCACCTTGCTCATTGACCTGAAGTCGGATAGAAATGATATACTGTATACGCATGGAAACCAAACAAACACGTTCGCCATTACGATAAAGGCCTGTCAGAATTTAATATAATGTTATGGCTTCATTCGCACAACTTTTGATTGGTTCATCATTTCATTGCACAACTTCTGATTGGTTCATCATTTCATTTTCACAACTTCTGATTGGTTCATCATTTCATTTTCACAACTTCTGATTGGATCATCATTTCATTTTCACAACTTCTGATTGGTTCATCATTTCATTTTCACAACTTCTGATTGGATCATCATTTCATTTTCACAACTTCTGATTGGTTCATCATTTCATTTTCACAACTTCTGATTGGATCATCATTTCATTTTCACAACTTCTGATTGATTCATCATTTCATTGCAAACCTTTTTGATTAGTTCATCACATCATTTGCACAACTTTTGATTGGTTCAAGAGTTTAAGGTAAAATGATATCTAGGTATGTAATATGGACAACCAGAATACCGGGTCTCTCAGAAGGACGATAATTGATTGGAGATCATTTGGAACAGAACTTCCAAAGTGAAGATATATACACAAACAAATTACTATACAATGGAACTGATTGACTGGAGGGTCGTTATATTTATAGGTTGAAATGTCAATTGCCCTGAGCCTGTTTCAGCTCTCAGGTTGTACCGTCAGAACCTTCTAATAAGTTCCATCAATGCAGTTTGGCAAGTAGATCGTACCACTGGGTGTCTGATCGGCAACAGCTATTCATTAAATCTCAAACGTGAAAGGAATATTTCCCCACAACAGAACAATTTACCTTCGATGATATATCAATTTATCCGTTTAGAAGTTCAGTTAGCTGCATGTAGATTGGTGAAGCCGGGTGAATGTTTAAGATGGCTTTCTCAGTACATACTTTTCTACCTGAATAAATCATAACACCGAATTATCTATCTTTACACAAACATGTCTTCTACCCGTCAGTAATGCTGCGCTCCCGGCAACTCTTTCACACCACGTACAAGTTGTATATAACATCGGTCGTGCTCTGGCTCGTGGATCTCTTCTTCCTCAGTGTGGCCAACGGCAAATACTCAGCAGACGGTTACGAAAATAACGATTTGGAACTTGTAGGTAAGTTATGTTTGTCTTATCATTCAAAATATTTTTATTATGAACTCAGTTAAGTTATCCTTGATATTTTTTTTCAGTTAAAGAACATAGCAAGAAAACACGTGAACAAATTTATATCAAAAATCAATAAAACTAGGACAAAAAACGGACAAACGAAACATAACAGAAAAATGTATATGGAGAATATGACAAGGTGTTCCAGAAGAGTAAGCGTCTTCTGCTTTATCGACAACACCCGACTTGTGAATTACAGAAAGTAATATCATGTTCCCAAAGGAGAATTTAGTACACAATAACAGAATAGCTCCATTTAAATATATTTTTTGTTGAACCTCATAGTTATTTCATCGACGATGTTTCAGGTCGAGTCTTTGGTGCCGTCAGTGATCTAGTGTTCCTTTTGATGTTAATATTGGTGGGGAAGGGCTACACCATCACAAGAGGAAGGCTGCCGACCTCTAGCACCGTCAAGGTCACGGTTTTCTTCACACTGTACACCATAGTATATGCGATCCTGTTTGCGTATGAAGCTAAGGTATGTACAGTAAACCTGACAATGGCAGTCGAAAATAAACATTATTGTTATATTTAAGATTCTAGACCATTCGACATGTAACACGACTTTTGATTGGTCGATTGAAACGGTTCCCGACACCAATGACATGGCTGTCTTGACGGTCGCCATAACTGAAGCCGAAGACACCAACCTTACCAAAGCATGTGATTTTATTATCTTTGTACTTTGTCAGAGGTATTCGTATAAATCTATTTTTAAATCAATGTGTTTAAATGATTTCATAGGTTTTGAGTATAAATTAAGATTTTATTAAAATGTCGGTATTATCTTTCTTTCATTTTTATTTCAAATCCTTGTATTTTTATGCCAATCCGAGGTTGTAATTTCAATTCCGCGAGGTAAATTTGATATAAGACAATATTGTTTCTGGTTTTAGTTGAAAATCTAAAGTTGTAGTTAAATATAACAAAAGTTCTCACTTCCGCCACGTAAATATCATATCAAATGAAAATTAACTGCCATATTACAAAGTATGTTTGATGTTACAGGTGTTTGATCCTGGCGAGGTGTTGTATCTGTACGAAAGCCCACCCGGATATGGACTTATATCACTACGTCTGATCGGATGGGCGTGGTTCTGCTACTCTATTTTCTTCACACTAAAACACTTCAAAACCAAATCGTTGTTTTACTACCCTTTCTTCATCTTCTACACATGTTGGTGAGGAAATCATACATATATCATCTTGTTGTGAAAGATGCATATTGGCAAAATTCTCCAGGCTTGGCTAACCCTTGATAGAGAACTCCTTCTATCTGTCATCCAATTGTGAATGCATTGTGTATCAATACAAAGTAGAAAAATGAGAATTACCAACTTGTTGTGGGAAGCAGACAATGGAGATGAAGCCCGTTAACCTGATTTGATAGTCATGTTAGCAAGTGATATGTAGGTCCCATGTTAGTAATCCTACATTTCCAAACATCTATGTATTTTAAACTAAAAAGGGCTGCCGTTATAACAAACGAGAAAAACAGTTTCACAGAAAAAAATGAGATAAACGTATTTATGAAGTTGAGGAGTCCCCTTAGCACCGCTGTTTCACACAATTTCTTTCCAAGTCCATTTTCGTTTTGTCTTTAAATGCTTGCTTATCTGTCTTTGGTAGGTTTTGGGCGGGGCCAATCGTCATTCTGGTCGCCATGTTTGCGATGCCTCAATGGATGAGAGAGAAAACAGTTCACGGAGTCTCCATGCTAATCGCCTTCTTGGGTCACGTGTTTTTTCAGGTGAGAATGAGGCTGATGGAAATTGATTGGCTAGTGGGAATAATTCACTTGTGACGTTGCCTATATGTATTTAGTTGTGTAGCTGTGGGTGGTTTAAGTGGTTATATGACCAAATCTTGCCCTAACGTTGTTCATATTCTGAAAAAAAAAACAATATCAAAACATCTCACTAATCAACATCGAATTGAAATGATGGTATCATCCTTCCAATATCGATATCACTTTAGATCACAAAATTTGTCTGAATGTCGAAACAATGACGACTGCTTATGTTGGCATCTAAAGACTTTTATCAGAAAATTTATTTCATAATATAGCCTATAAGGGTGTTGAAATATATTTCGTTGTCAACACATTGGTTTGTTTTAAGTGTGTAGCGTCCCAACTTTTGATCTATAAGATTTCTTTCAGTATTCACCAAAGATCTGGCCCCACTTGTATAAAACATCACAACTTGAGATTTCCTCAAGTCGAGATTTTCCTCAGCTGATATCTCCTCAAAAACGGCTTGTATGAAATTTTCTCAAGGAACAGGAGGAAGTCATCGGCTAGGATGTCCTGAAATTCCTTGAGGAATTTTCATACAAGATATTTTCAAGGAGAAAATCTGGGCTTGAGGAAATCTGAAATTGTGATATTTTATACAAGAATAGTGAGGTCTGGTAATGTACGAGGTACACTTCGCTGGAACATTAAAAATATTTTCTCTGTTGTTGTTTGTGAAGTTCTCGTCTCATTCTGTTGTCAGTCTGTGTTGGAGGAGAGCACCGGATATGATCTGTACTTAACTATATAGATTTTATCTATTTACCTACTTTTTACAATAGATTAATCAAATCTAAATAATTCATTGACTGATGTATTTTTTATCTTGTGTTAGATAACAAATAAATTGAACTAGTTGTATTGTTTATCATGCACTCAAAATAGTTTCAGAAGAAGTGTTTAAAATTAGTATATATAAAGATTATTTTCTCCATTTTCCCAGGGATTTTAGAGATTAAATGTTCCTACTTGGGGTTAAAACATTTATTCTAGAGGAAATATACATTCTATTAGATTTTAATTTAATTGAAAAGGAGGAAAGAAAAATGGTAACAAGATATCAGTTTGATAATCTACTAAAAATAACTTTGATAATTCTCAAAGATTTTGTTTGATCTTTTTAAATGTTAAATGTTTTCATTTGATGTTTGATACTACGCTTGACGAGACCTGTTGTATGATGTAGTTTTAGAGGATCATGTATCTGGAAAATGACACACCAGGCATTATGATGTAATGTCGCCTTATAAATGCACTTTTGACATAATATCATATTTTCCAGATTCTGACGCGACCATCGGCTGCTAACAAAAACTTTCCCTACCACGTCCGAACTACTCAGGTTAGTATCATTATCAACAAGACTGTCAAATAAACATCTGAGTTTAACTGTAGGTTTTTGTGTAATTCTATATTTAGTCTGCCACCCTGGGACTTTGGGTACATCCATATTTTTTATCTATCATTTCAACTTTTGGCTGTGGATTTTTTGTCTTGGCTTTTTATCGTTGATTTTCGTGTAGATGTTATAACACAAATGATTCACCGTTGCTGTAAAGCAGAAGACGCTTACTTTTTCGGAACACTCTTAACTACATTTCGAATCTGAATCTGAAACAAGGTTTTGTTACCATCTTGATATTGTGTAGATTGCCTCCATGACGGGATCTAACAGCCACGAGCTCGACAACTTTAATGTCCATAGCTATTCTGTGGGGTCCAACCACCCATCTGCCTCTGGACCTGATCTGACAAGCCTGTTCACCACTTCCAAAACGACGTCAGAGAAGACAGACGAGGATGAGCTATCATCCACGGCGTCAGCACAGAAGCGGGGTAGTCTGCCTCCAAGCTATAGTAGTGCCAACTTTGAGGTAACAGACTGCCAACGAAAATTTGCAATCAATCCCAGTTTCCTCCCCTTATATATATCCTGGTCAAGGCATCTTTATTTTTTTCCTTTGAATATGTCAAGAATAATTCAAATGTGAGTTTTGTTTCTACGTTTGCCGGCGCCATTTCTCAAAAACCGTACTAACCGGCCATTGTAATTGCCATACTAAAAGAGACGTATTGGCCAATCCCATGAAACCCCGCCAGTATCGAGATTGTCCAACACGTCACTTATATAGCGACTAAGACTCTTAATAAAACATATTAAATTCATGTTGTCATTTATGTTTGCAGGTATTACCCGGTATCCGCAGTAACACGTCAACTACCTCCTTAAGTGGCGCCACTGGTGGGTTGTCGTCACCGCCAAGTTATCACACGTTATTTAGCGCCAATAGCGGGAATGGCTGGGAATGATCACCAGCGTCCGTGATATCACTCACGATTAATATAAAAAGTGAAGCGATTTCACAGGAAGTCTTGATCTGGAGTGCGTTTGCAGTAGATCAATTTTGACACTGTAATGGAAACATAAGACAAGATCATGACCGCAGATAGCAGTTATTTGATTTGAAAGAGAAATTATTGCCACAGTTAAAAAAACAAAATCATTTAAAAAAAATGAACATAGATTTCTCATGAGTCCAATGACCAGTTCATCACCTGTTGGTTTTCGATGTCGTTATGGTTACCAATGTAATATTTTAGTATATTAACGAATCAATAGTTTTTTTTAGATAAATGGTTCTGTAACTTTTTCGCGTTCGTTAATATATATTGTCATATGTAATGATACATTTGTGTTTCCAAACTGTTGATATATTATGACATGTTTGTTTTTTCGTGTAAGTTATCATTATGGAAATTGTTATTTCATATGATGCATTCTATATCTCAGATGACAAGACGGTGATTAATATCGCTTAAGCTGATATCATGAGTAAATTTACATAAAACACTTATCTAAGACACAACAAGAATTACTTATGCCGGTACGGATGTTTAACACAGTTTATCATCTTCATCGTTGACATGCAGCACGTGATTTTGTGTTATACTGTATAAGGTAACTTAACACTGATAAAGCATACAAATGTCGTTATATGTTATTTAATTGTAAAAGGAGACATATTTCATCTGAGGCATGATATCATGTCATTCATGGGAAAACCTTATTTCTATGTGAATCTTTACAATTTTCTTATTTTACTCTTGTTCAGTCGTATTGGAGTAAGAATTCAGGATTTATTAATTCTTAAGGTCTTTGGTATTTTTATAACTGTCTGGATTCTGTTAGACAATTTTTATTATTAGAAAAAATATGTTCTGTAAAATACTTTATAAGTAGCAGTAACCTTTATCTTAATATTGTTTTGTTAACATCGATACAAAACTCAGTGCCCTCTATAGAATATAAATACATATACCAATCCTTGTATTCCGGAAGGTCATATATTGAATTAGGATCCATTATGCAATACTCACATTTGTTTGCGGTTCAAGGTTATTTTTTGAAAGGTTGATTAAAAATTAAAGTATAAAAGATCAGATATGGTTAACAATTGATAATTTGATATACATGTACACGTCTGTATTTGTGTTGGTCTGGTGGCGCAGTAGTAACATACTTGCCTTTCACCTAGACGTTCGAGGTTCGATTCAGGAACGGACCTGAAAAGGTATGAGGTCACCTGCCCGACTTCGTGGGTTTTCCCTGGCTACTCCGGTTTCCTCCATAAGAACCCTCGAGCGCTTCCATCCGGGCCAACAAGAGTGATTAATATACGTTTGAAAAAACTTGTTTGTAATTGTTGTAAGATGAAGATCGATTTATATATCTCTGATATAAGTATGATACTCTTTACATTATTGGGCAACTCTCTGTCTATATACATTGTCTGATAATTAGATTGCGTATGTTTTAATAAGTTACTAAATATCGTCGTCAATTAATTTAAATCTAGTTTTAAATGTCACACAAAGCACCAAAATGTTATAATGTGTCATATTTTTCATTCCCTAGTTGACGAATAACACCAAAGTGTTATCGGGTGTCACATTTTTTATTCCCTAGTTGACGAATAACACATTTTTCATTCCTTGGGTGAAAAAACGTAAAAATCCTTATTCAGTCATTGTTAGGTAATTATGTTTTAACTTTGTCAAATAGGTTTACGTGTATTCTGCCCTCTCACATTTAACACATGCGTTGAATCGTGTTTTTATTAACTGCTTCTTAGCTTATGTTTATTTGGCAATAACTGACGGTGGAATATCAGTTCAAAAAATTAAATATAGTAATGAAATCTAAAAGCCTTCTTAGAGCTATTCTATATAAAATACAAATTCAAATAAAATTGATTTGCATTAACCCATGTTTATGTTTTGAATGTTTAGCTCTAACATTCATACGGATTGCTTCTCTTTAACATCTAAGTTAGGTATTGGTTAGTAAGACCATACAATAGGATATATCATCAACCTTTTGTGGAGTGCTACATCCCACTAGCCTGTTTAAGTAAGACCATACAATAGGATATATCATCAACATTTTGTGGAGTGCTACATCCCACTAGCCTGTTTAAGTAAGACCATACAATAGGATATATCATCAACATTTTGTGGAGTGCTACATGTGTGTAAGACCATACAATAGGATATATCATCAACCTTTTGTGGAGTGCTACATCCCACTAGCCTGTTTAAGTAAGACCATACAATAGGATATATCATCAACCTTTTGTGGAGTGCTACATCCCACTAGCCTGTTTAAGTAAGGTAGGTATTTCCTTTATTTGTGTGTACTTAAACTCTTCATACAATCAATACAAGGAAGCTGATATGTCTTGAACGTTTTGTCTTCAAAATGTTGATTCTTCCAATGTTGTTATAAAGGTAAATGTGTGTTTTGTTATGTAATATCAATGTTTCCTTTGTCATTAAAAGTCATACACGTTCTGAAAGTGTGATTATTCTTTCTGCAGGGGTCGTCGTGTTCTAAATAGTCACTACTCATATCCAAAACAAACCAATATGAATAAAATACGGTTCATAATTTACCACTCAAATGCTTTCCGTCTTAATAAACGAAAAGTATTGGAGCTGTAAATTAAAATCTGTCCTTAAAGCAGATTTAACACATTTCATATTGTGCTCATGAAATCTGCATTAATCAAGCCTTCTGTTGAGTCAGATTTCTGGTAGCATGCAAATAGTGATAATCAGAATAAGATAACATTTTTCTGTATATTTACATGGAAACCTAAGACTTGAATGTCGCCATTAAAAGACTGTTTAAATAGACAGATACAATTGTTTGAAGTGGAAGGAGACGACCAGACAGATGAACAAGTGTTTAATACTTTATATTTGTATCCGACACGTAAACAGTCCTGTTATTTTCCCTTATCATGTTAGATTTCTTGTCCTAAGTCTGACACTAGCTGTCTCAAACTCACTGTTAAACTGCCAGTCATAAACTTTCGATATTGATCGTTAAATATCCTCCAATATTCCAGCCAGACAAATTATATAACTAGGGTTCTACAGTGAATCGTATTCCTTTTCATACCAGCCCTTCAACATATTGGTGTATAACGTGATCCATTGATGCTAATAGCTCAAGATAGACATCATAATGCCTCGCTTGTACACTCAATGTGAATTCGAAATTCTTATCTTTTAAAACATGCTGGTTATCATGTATATCAGAACAGGTAGATTTGATATGAGATTTAGTTTAATGCATTTAAGATCAACAACAAAACACCTTTACATAAATGTAAACATATTTCCGTATCCCTCAATGAAATGTTTTTGTATGACTTGTATAATAACCTTTGTGTGATACCGGAAGACAGATATGCCAGGTGCCAAATATAATTAAGGAAACATTGACTTTTGTGTGATACATGAAGACAGACAAGCCAGGTGCCAAATATAATTCAAGTGACATTGACCTTTGTGTGATACCGGAAGACAGATGTGCCAGGTGCGTAATATAATTCTGGAAACATTGACCTTTGTGTGATACCGGAAGACAGATGTGCCAGGTGCGTAATATAATTCTGGAAACATTGACCTTTGTGTGATACCGGAAGACAGATGTGCCAGGTGCGTAATAGAATTAAGGAAACATTGACCTGTGTGTGATACATGGAGACAGACATGCCAGGTGCTAAATATAATTCAAGTGACATTGACCTTTGTGTGATACCGGAAGACAGATGTGCCAAATGCGTAATATAATTCTGGAAACATTGACCTTTGTGTGATACCGGAAGACAGACGTGCCAGGTGCCAAATATAATTAAGGAAACATTGACTTTTGTGTGATACATGAAGACAGACAAGCCAGGTGCCAAATATAATTCAAGTGACATTGACCTTTGTGTGATACATGAAGACAGACAAGCCAGGTGCCAAATATAATTCAAGTGACATTAACCTTTGTGTGATACATGAAGACAGATGTGCCAGGTGCCAAATATAATTCTGGAAACATTGACCTTTGTGTGATACCGGAAGACAGATGTGCCAAGTGCGTAATATAATTCTGGAAACATTGACCTTTGTGTGATACCGGAAGACAAACGTGTAAGGTGCGTAATGTTATTAAGGAAACATTGACTTTTGTGTGATACCTATAGTACCATAGTAGTTAGTGTACTGTCTTCTATCTGTACACAGTAGTTAGTGTATAGTCTTCTATCCGTACACAGTAGTTCGTGTATAGTCTTCTATCTGTACACAGTAGTTAGTGTATAGTCTTCTATCTGTACACAGTAGTTAGTGTACTGTCTTCTATCCGTACACAGTAGTTAGTGTATAGTCTTCTATCTGTATACAGTAGTTAGTGTATAGTCTTCTATCTGTACACAGTAGTTAGTGTATAGTCTTCTATATGTACACAGTAGTTAGTGTACAGTCTTCTATCCGTACACAGTAGTTAGTGTACAGTCTTCTATCCGTACACAGTAGTTAGTGTATAGTCCTCTATCCGTACACAGTAGTTAGTGTATAGTCTTCTATCTGTACACAGTAGTTAGTGTACAGTCTTCTATCTGTACACAGTAGTTAGTGTATAGTCTTCTATATGTACACACTGTACACAGTAGTTAGTGTACTGTCTTCTATCCGTACACAGTAGTTAGTGTACTGTCTTCTATCTGTACACAGTAGTTAGTGTATAGTCTTCTATCCGTACACAGTAGTTAGTGTATAGTCTTCTATCTGTATACAGTAGTTAGTGTATAGTCTTCTATATGTACACACTGTACACAGTAGTTAGTGTACAGTCTTCTATCTGTACACAGTAGTTAGTGCACTGTCTTCTATCTGTATACAGTAGTTAGTGTATAGTCTTCTATCTGTATACAGTAGTTAGTGTATGGTCTTCTATCTGTATACAGTAGTAA